ATCTCCCCCTTCATCAATACACGCGCCTATTAGGGCCCACCCGCTCAACTCTTTCTCAGAGGGCACCGACCCATCGGTGTATAAGATGACCTGCTCTGATGGGCTGCTACATGGCGGGGCAACCTGCAGTGCAAATTGCGAACTGTCTTTCAGCACAACCTCCCCCATATCTTGCACAAGCGCGAGCTGCTGCCCATGCTCGATAAGACACTGTGCGATCCGATCGGCCCCCTGGAAATCACAACTGACGTGCCTCTCGACTCTAGAGGTGAGCGCATCTAAACTGATGATCGTTTTTGGATCAGGGGACTTGGGGCCTGGGCCTACTTCGGGACCTTGACTGCTAGGCACGACCAGCCCCATGCTAGGGTCGTACTCACGAGTTTCGGTACCTCCGAACGTGACAGCCTTCTGTCCCCTTCGAGCGGGTACACGCGTCTGGGTGCGTCCAGCACCTCCAGACTGCAGAGACACGCCGCCCCCCCACCCCCCCCCCCCCCCCCCCCCCCCCCCCCCCCCCCCCCCACACGTCCGAAGCCCCCCCCCAACCTCGACGGCCGCCTGCTGCCTATCTCCAAGGCCAGACGCGGCGAGATGCACCAAGGGGCTCGCACTCAGCAAGCCTGACCGCGGCGTGACTTCAAATGACGGATGCTCAGCACTGACCCTGCTGGGCTCAGGCTTGACAACGCCTAGCTGGGCAAGCTTATGCGCATCCTGCGGGCCTCCAACAAGGGAGTCCTCACTGGTGAAGGTGAGGGGGTCCTTACCAGCCCACATCTGCAACACATTCGTGTCATCCTGCTCCGCATGGGCGGCGGTCGCATTGTTGCCACCTGCCTCAGCATCAGCGGATGGCTCGGTACTGCCCACGCCAACCGACGCAGCTGCAGGAGCGACAGGGCCTTGAAAGTGCAAGTTTGAATCCCAAAGCTTGCCCAACACGCATCGGACCCTGGTCGGGTCCGAACAAAATCTTCTTCGCACACATGCGGCCTACCACGCGAACTTCTACGCATAATGCGACGCGCACGGCACACTGCATCGAGGGCACTGCACATGTGCATTCGCCAAGCCGTTGCATCGAGTCGGAGCAACATCCCCGCGCGCCGTGCATATATTTTTCGTGCTGTCCGCGCGTGTTCCCACGCGTCCATGCATATCTCGCGCGCCAAGCCACGCCTGGCCTGTACGCCTGGGGCGAGAGGTGCTAAAACACGGCTGGAAGCTATCTGTTCGACGACCCAATCGACACATAACAACATCCAATCTGCAAAGGCGAACTGCTCATCCCACGAGACGGCCACACCTGAACATGGGCGACAACGCCCTGCTAAAACTCGTGCCATCACGTTTGCTGCATGCTGTGCTTGCTGCGTGCCTGGCCTAGGCGGAGGCCGATCATAAGGTCCCATCCCCGCCCCGCTTCCAAACGAGACCACCCCCACCCCATCCATATCAGAGTCTGCCTGGTGCCACTCTTGGTCAGACAAACTCATTAACGGCTGGCCGAGGTCACTCTCGCGCAACTGGAATGTCTCACAATTGCTACTATCGTGCATACTGTGCCACGCCCCACATGCGCTGCGCACAAGATGCGACGTGTGTGCAAACGAACGTACATGCTGGCTGCCGCTACCTACTGTCTGCCCTGCTTGTTCGGGGCACTTGGCTCCGCGACCGTCTTGGGCTCCGTCCTGGGCGGCGACTTCACGTCGTCGTCCTCCTTTTCGCACGTTCCTCCTCCTTCACTGCCATGTTGGTAGCCTCGGCCTGCTGGGCTGAGCTCGGCATCTCAGACGGCGACGTAACATTGTACTGCATATTTAGCGGGCTGACGAACTCCTGCTGCGCATTGATCGGCTGTGTCGGCGAGCGCACGGGCGTTTGCAATGGGACTGGCACTTCCTCTTTGACCTACCTCGCGGGGCTCGTCGGCGAGGGTAACCCCACTGCTGGAACCAACTCGCTCTGCGTGCCAGCCACGGGTCTCCCTGGCGTGTCGCGCCCCGTGATGAGTGACGGCGTTGCTGGCGCTGCCATCTGCGTGCCTGCTGCCTCCGTAGGTGTCCGCTGTCCTGGCGGTATTGTCGATACTGAAATTGGCGTTCCTGGCGCTAGTATGCCGTGGCCGACAGGCGTCTCTGGTACAGGAAACCCCGCTGCGATCGGCGGCTGTGGCGGGGATGGTGGCGGCTGCATAGGCGGGGGCGTATCTACCCCCGCGCTGGTCGCCGTTCCCGCTGGTATAACAGGCGCCGCCGTACCTCCTGTACTCTGCCCTGCTGCAATCTGGGCAAGATACCCAATCATCGAGTCGGTCTGCTGCTGTCTCTGCGCCATCTGATGTAACTGCTGATTGAACTGTAACATAATGTACTCCATCTCGCTTACCTCCTGGGTGACCTGCTGCTGGGGCTGCTGCGCGCGCGACGCTGGCCCATATGGCCCTGCCGCCTGGTGCGTCATCGCACCCGCATGCCCAGGCGCACCACCACCAGCAGGCGGCGGCGGCGGCGGGGCCACCGGCCATGTCGTCGTCCTCCAGCTGTAGCTCCTCTATCTTTGCGATGCACTCTTTTGTGCTGCTCGGTCTCCGTGGCAATCTCGCCCTCCTGCGTCGCGTCTTGAAGTCGGTCATGCGAGCGATGGTGTTCTGCAATGTGACCGTGGCCCTTTCCTTGCGACTCTTTAAGTCGGCGAGCTGCTGCGGGTGCGAAAGAGTGTTTGCGAGCATGCATTTCATGACTGCTAACTTGCGATCGTGGCGCCCGGCGTTGTCGAACTCTGATGCTCTCTTCGCTGCCATCGCCAATGATGTGATGTCCGCGATGCGGTCCCTCAACTCCGACTTCCACTTGTGCAAGGCGTGCGGGTCTTCGGGCGCATGCATGTAGCCCTCGTGAATGGCCGCCTGCTCTTTCGTTATGGGCGGGATCCTCGCATTGTACGCTTTCACCTGCTTGTCTGCCCACGGCTGGATACTCTTGAGCTTCTCCTCGGGCCTGCCACGGCTGGTCGGGCGGCGTGGTGCCGGTTGACTGTTGCCACTCGCTGGGGACCTGCCTGTGCCGATTGGCAACGACCTGCTGCCTATGGGCCCTTGCTGCATATCTACTGATCGACACCCGCAGAAGCGTGCCGAATGGTGCTTCACATACCTTCCACACGGGCAATCCCAACGCGGGATGCCCTCTTGGCGCACCATTGCTGCTGCACGGCTGTGCGGAAATTCTGCCTGAGAAGAAAATGTTTGCCGAAACGTGTCTGTGTCTGGCTTGGCAGCCCTGTGACAGAGAGATTAGCTGAAAAAACCCTGCGCAACCTCGAGAAATGTGTTACTTGAGCCAAAATGGCTTGAGCCAAAGTGGCTACGGTCCTCCTCCCTCTCCCCCTACTCCTTCTCCTCCTCCCTCTCCTCCTCCCCATCCTCCTCCTCCTCCTCCTCCTCCTCCTCCTCCTCCTCCTCCTCCTCCTCCTCCTCCTCATCGTTTCCCCTCCTCGTCCGCCCCCTTCGCGTTCCTCCTCCCACTCCTCATCCTCACCAATTACAGAAAATGAATACTACACTCCTCTCTTTCCTGGTGACGTTCAGAAAATGTCTGGCCCCCCTCCGCGCGTTTTCTGTTACACCGGATTTCCGGGAAAATGGTGCTCGTTTGGTTTGTTGCTCGACATGGCGTTCCCGCTGAAGCGCTGGCCTCATTTTCGGGTTTCCGCTTGTTCCGAATCGTGTTCCCGTTACAGCACTGGCATCATTTCCGCGCCTCCGCTCGTTGCGAATCGTGCTCCCGCTGCAGCGCTGGCCTCATTTCCTGGATGCCATTTTTTTGATAATCCGATTATTTTCGTCCTTCGAAATGTTGTTCCCGTTGCATTGCCGGCTCCAGTTCTGCGCCCGTGGTTGTTCCAAAACGTGTTCCCGCTGCAGCGCAGGCGCTTTCGGTCCTTTTCAGTAGGCCCCAAATCTAGAAAATTACAGGCACAAGAAAGACATCGCAAGTGATTGCACATCCAGCGTCGATTCGATGAGTGTCTGGGCCGCAAAAAGCTCCCCCCCCCATTTCGGGGCGGCGTCTGCAGTCAGAAGGCGATGTTGCAAACATGGCCAGCGGGTGCTCTCCGTCGGCCCCGCCTTGTGGGGAGCTCTTCGGGGAGCCCTGGGAGCTAAACGTGGAGCCGCGACTCCAGACTGGCCCAGACCCTTCGAAGACGATCCGCTTACCTTCCAAGGAACCTGGTGCCCTGCCATGACATGCTGTACGGTGTTGTGTTCTGCGCCGCTGTTCGATGCCATGCTTTGCGTTGCAATGCTTTGTGATGCAATGCTTTGCTAGCAATACCACGCCATGCTACGCCATTGCATTATACGCTCTGCCGTGCTGTGCTACGCCCTGCCATGCCGTGCTCTACGATGCATCCCGCACCCTCTCGCGATCATTGCCCTGCTCGACATCTGATTGTGCGAATAGAAAGGAGATCTACGCCATGGTAAGATATGGGAGAGAGGGGTAGGACGTCATATTTGACGCGAGCGCACCTACTTTGGCATTCCCCCTCCCCTCCTCCTCCCCCTCCACCTCCCCTTCCTCCTCCTCCTCCTCCTCCTCCTCTCCTCCTCCTCCTCCCTCCCCCTCCTCTCCTCCTCTCCTCCTCCTCTCTCTCCTCTATCTCCTCCTCGTCCTCCTCGTTCTCCCTCATCCTCCTCCGCCTCCTCCTCCCGCTCCTCCTCCTCGTCCTCCTCGTTTCCCTTCCCCCTCCACCTCCCTCCTCCTCCTCCTTCTGCTCCTCCTCCTCCTCCTCCTCGTTCTCCCTCCTCCTCCGCCTCCTCCTCTTCCTCCTCTTTCTCCTCCTCGTCCTTCTTGTTCTCCCTCCTCCCCCTCCTCCGCCTCCTCCTGCTCATCCCCCTTCTGAGCTCGAACTTTTTCGTTTTTTAACGCAGCGCGAAGCGCGAAATTGGCTGCCCCTGCTCCCGCCTTCGCCGCAGTTCCGTGGGGCAGGTCGCCTTCGCGAAGGGGGAGGCCGTCCGCCTAGGGCTGGACGTCAAGGAGGACGGACCGCCGGGGGATGCCCAGAAGGAGGAGGGAGGGAGGGGGGCTGAGGGCTGAAAGCGAGTCAGCGCCTGCGCACAGACACTGCTCTACCTACGCATCAAGCGAAGAAGGCCGTTCAGGGTACGGGAGCTGCCCCTTGACGTCGGACGACTCGCGGCCCAACCGAACCGACATGGTTCATTTGGGCACGAGGCCACCCTGTCAGAACGATTGGCATTGCGCACTGGGGCCTGCTTAACAGCCCCAGCCGTGAGTGGTCACAAGGCCCGACCGGATTTACGTGGCACACGCCACCACTTTTCACGGAAAACGCAAATCCCTGGGGGCCAGACCACATGGGAATGGCCACCCAGGCGCTTGGCTGACGCCGCCGCCAGAAAGGCAAGCTGAGACCGAGGACCGAGCTACACCCAACGATGAGGCCTCGCGCAGCGCAAGTCCCGCCGACACAGGTTTCGCAACGTCCACCCCCAGGCCCACAGAGACCGGAAGCCTTGCGGCCGTGCTACACCCAACGACGGAAGACTTGCGGCACCCCGCCGATACAGGCTTCGAAACGTCCACCCCCAGCCCCTGTGGAAGAAACGACCGGTAGCCGCTCACCCTTACCGCGGATGCAATGCCCTGAACAGTCTGCCTCGAGGAAGGTGTGGCGCTGGACACCATGAGAACATGTGCCAGGCCCCACCCTCGGGGGGGAGGGCGGGAGGAGGGAGCAGGAGGAGGAGAAGGAGGAGAAGGGGGAGGAGAAGGAGGAGAAGAGGAGGAGGAGGAGGAGGAGGAGGAGAAGAAGGGAGGAGGGAGGAGGAGAAGGGGAGGAGGAGGGAGGAGGGAGGAGGGAAGGGGAGGAGGAAAAGGGGAGGAGAAGGGAGGAGGGAGGAGGAGGGGGAGGAGGAGGAGAAGGGGAGGAGGAGGGAGGAGGGAGGAGGAGGAGAAGGAGGAGAAGGGGGAGGAGGACCGGCCCTCCGTCCGTCACACCCCTCACGGACTTCGGCGCGCACACTTTGTCCTTCAGGCTGCTCCTCGTTTCGCCGCCCGGTTGCATTCCCATGGCCGCTGCGCGTTGAGGTCCTCCCCCTGGGCAGCGGTCTCTGCGCATCGCAGTTTTCCGACTCTGCAGGAATGCAGCAGTTTCGTCGTTCATGTTGCCCGTCGTTGAAAGGATGGTCGGGGTGACCGAATTGGGCATGGAAACATTGGGCACAACGTCCAACAACAGTTCCCTTCCATTCTGAACAGGATTCGTTATCCGTGTCCCCGCGGGCGCTATCGATTTGGGACAGAAGGCCGCCTGCCCAACAGCGGCCGCTGTCGGTTTTGGGCAACATCTGTTGTAGGACATCGTGCCAATTTTTCCTGTACCCCTTTTCGGGCGTTCAGAGATGCATGGCGCCGCGCGTCAGCGAATCGGCCTAGCCTTGCGAGCGGTCGGCAGCGGCGGCGCGGTCCACGCGTGGCAGCGCCAGGGCAAGGTGGTCGCCGTGTCGGGCATCGCCGACATGAGGGCCCGCCTGTGCAGGAGGGAAAGTACGTAGGCATAGACACAACAAAGCGCTGATCCCCAGTACAGTATTGGAAGCGAAGGGGCTCACGACTACTATATATATGTAGTTTCACCGATATGTATGTATATGTATATACATACCCATGCATACAAACATGTAAAGTTCCACACGCATACGCACATGTACGCTATCATGCTATTATGTTACCGGTAGTTGTGCGAGTATTAGTATTGTCATTAGTTCGATGCTGTTTAGCTCGCGGTCTCAAGATGCTATATTCGTATTCGTATTGTTATTACTTCGTTTCTTTGTATTGCTACTACTACTACTACTACTACTACTACTACTACTACTACTACTACTGTTACTGTTACTACTACTACTACTACTACTACTACTACTACTACTACTACTACTAGTACGACTACAACTACTCATAGTATCGTTACCAGTGATGATTCGTGGTGCTGGCAATCTGTATTTCGTGGTGATTAGTCGGACCTTTATCAGTAGTACGATTGTTCGTGACACTCATATCATCATTGTAGTGGCCTTCGGCCAGTGCCGCCGATCCGGGTCTCTCGGTGTTATTCTCCAGACGCAGACATTATGGGCGCACACTCAGACGCACACACACAGTCACACCACCGAATCCGCGCCGCAGACATGCACACACACACACACCACCACCCACACACATACCAGTTAGGAAACGCACGCGCGCGCACGCCGAGCGGATACACATATTACGCGGACACCTCACGCACGCACACATACATACATACATACATACATACATACATACATACATTTAGTTTGTATTTAGGAATGCAGTTGGGTCAATAGAGCCATCTCGCAACAGTGGTTCTATCACCGGCGGGGTGCCTTCAGTGACCGTGGGGACGGGCAATAATCTGGACATGACAATTCCATACAGGATGCCGATCACTTTGGAAACTCACGATACGTCTTGCACGGAGTCTTGTTACGAA